CATTAAGTGATTTACAGTATGACGTACCCTTCTATGACACTGTTCCACTGACTCGCAGCTGGATCAATGTTGTAATAAGGAGGAATAGTTATTACCTCGCCAGGTCTTACAGGGAAGGCATGACTAGTGATCATAGCCTTCACGGAAAGGCGGGCTCCGAGATATGAACTTTTAAACCCTCATTTTGTCAATGGTTCAGCCATCTCTCAGGTACTTGTGGCGCACCTCACTTTTGGGCCGTTCAGCAGAAGTATAATGTTTGTTGTACTACGGTACGTAGTTGGAAAGAGTAGTGAAGAATGTCTTTCACTACGTTGAACGTATCTTTGTGGAAGTTAGTAGCTCAATCGGGAAGAGTGCTCGCTTTGTAACCAAGAGGTCGTGAGTTCAAATCCCACACAGGTCATACTACTTAAACTTTTAAAAATGGTACATACTGCTTTCTCTGTTAACCGGTGTTAGCACTCAGCATCTATGAGATTAGAGTATGGGAAGGTCAAAGACACAACACTACCAGCGGACTAGCCCCCTGCTATAATATATAGTGCTTGCACAATTGTGTGGCCGAATGGCTACAGAAATTGAGATGGGCACCCATGCCCGTAGCCAGCATTTTGAATGGGGGGGGGGTCTTCCCACTGCTGGAGGGAACCTCGAGTGCCGAAGGCGCGAGGTTCCTAGGGGGGTCTTGGGGCATGCTCCCCTGGAAAATTTTGAAAATTGAACCTTCTAAAATGGCATTTCGTGCATTTTTGAGAGGATTTCCAAGAAAAAATCAGAGATAAATATTTATTCAATCATTGAATCAATGACAAAGGGAGCAGTTTTTCTACGATTCCAATCTTTTCAAGAAATCTTGGACCTTTACATAAAAAATGTTGGACCTTTACATAAAAAGTAGACCAAAAAGTGGACCTTTACACAAAAAGTGGACCAAAAAGTGGACCTTTTAGACCTTTAGCTCAGAACCCCCAACCCCCCCTGGCTACAGGCATGGCACCACCCCTATACTCTGCACAGTGTAATAGGACCTATTTATGTTACACTTACATTCAGTATTGTGCTTGTTACAGTACATGATTTGCCACACAGTTGTCACATCCAGGTACTTAGACACCTGAATATATGGAAAGAATTTATTTTTGTTATTTTTTTGACCAAGATTTACTACATGGATTGTTGGAAGTGTTTGTCTGAATATAGCATATGCCAAGGAAGAGGAGTCAATGTCCTCATATACTAATACTAGTATATATTTCCACATGAGCTGACAATTTAGCTAGGCTTCTCTATTCTGCATATAAAAGGGAATCACTTTCTCCCAGGCATGCAAAGTTGTGATACAAATTGCAGGTTTCAGCGTCATGAATACACAGACGGGGTTCTCAGTACCCTGACACATCCCCGTACTCTCTCAAAGTACCCGGTATGGTGTGTTTGCACATGAATTGGGAGGCTGGAAGTAACACATGTTAGATGGGCTGAGTAGGGTTAGCCTGGGTACCATCCTCTGTAGTTACGGCTCTTTGTTGTTGATGGCTCTGTGGTACCAACAATAGGAGAGAGCCAGCGGTGTCTACAGAGGATGGTACCCAGGCTAGAGTAGATCGGCCTTGGCCCCTTAAATGACATATGAAATATTGCAACATTGCAGTATCATAACAGCCAAATAGTTCACTCTGATTCTTTCTCCAAAGCTAAGCCTTGGCCGTATAGAACAGTGCCTGAGGACTTTTTGAATGCCTAGAACATACATTTGTATTAGTTGAGTTTACAGTTAGACCCTGATATTTACCTCCATGAAATGTGTCATGGAGGTTATATTTTCAGTTGCGTTTATCTGTCCGTCCGTCTGTCTGTTGGTCAACAAGATAACTCAAGAACGCCTGGATGGATTGGTTTCATACTTGGTGTGTTGGTAGGGTGTGACGAAAACTGGAAATGATGAGATTTTTGTCCCCCTAGTGGCTTCCCTTGGTACTGCAGCGCAACTTCCGGTTTTGATATCTCGCGATCTGGACATGCTAGGGTCATGAAATTTTGGTGGAAGGTAGCTCTCGTGCTTGGGAAGAAGTCATTTGAGTTTGGGCCCCCTAGCGGCTTGTTCTGGAACTGCAGGGCACTTTCTGGCGAAATGTTTAAAAGCCAATAAGTCCAGACAGGAACAACATATTTTCATTATTTTTGGTGTGTAGGTAGCTGAGAGAGAGATGTACATAATTAAATGCAAATTATGCAAATGAGGACTTTATTTGCATAATTAATGAGGAAATTCTATAATTACAGTGTTTTACATTATACTACTTACATACATGTAATGTATGTAACCTATGGCAGGCGGAACTTCAACAGATACTAATTATGCAAATGATGACCTAATTTGCATAATTAATGCGAAAATTCTATGATTTCGTAATGGTGAATGATGAGAATGTCATACTTGGGACATCTGTAAGTTAATCAAAAGTTAACATACATCACGATGCATATATCATGTTAATGCAGAGGTCATTTGCACAATTAAAGAAGAAATTTACATTTACATATCAAGATCATATTTCATGGAGGTATGAGATCTCGGAATTCTAGTTTAAAGATAAGTTCCTTATTGTTAAATGATGATTTGATGTTTGTTGATATTAGCGTGATAGTAAAACAGTAAAAAATTTCACCCAGTTTCTTTCTCGAAAGCTAATCCTCACTACGTGCCTTTACCTACATGTAGATGCACATGACTTCAGTGACATATGTAACATACATTGCACTTTGCAGCATCATAGTAAGTTAAAACAGCCAAAATTTCACCCAATTTCTCTCTCCAAAACTAATCCTCACTACGTGCCTTTACCCAGTACATGTATTCTATGACATATGTAACATACTTTGCAGCATGATAGTATAAAAGCCAAAAATTTCACCCAATTTCTTTCTTGGAAACTAATCCTTACTACGTGCCTTTACCCAGTACATGTATTCTATGACATATGTACTTTGCAGCATGATAGTATAAAAGCCAAAAAGTTCACCCAATTTCTTTCTCCAAAGCGAATCCTCACTACGTGCCTTTACCCACATGTACATGTAGATGTCCACACGTCAGGTGTACATCATTAGTCATTCACCCCACAGTCTCAGTTCGGGAACTTTGCGAATAGGACGATGAACTGCGGAGCTTCCTAACCAACTGTAGCCCCGGGCTACGGGAGGGTTTACGACACGTGCAATATGAATAGTCTTCAGGGTGACAGTTCCATTTCTGCAGTAATCTATCAACAACAAGAAGCGTATGAAGATGTAATGACCGTGCTCGGATAGAATGCCTGACAAGGAGCTAAGGGCTGGTTATAGATTCCAGACGCATCTTGATTTTATTACCTAAGTTCTTCTCTGGAGTTGTGTAAGTAGTTTTCAGGATGTCACATAATGCATGTAAGTAGGAGCTTTGTAGTTTACCTGGCGTATATTGGTATTGCTAATTAAGTCTACTAAAGAAGACTGTTCTCTTTGTGCGTATCTCTGTCTCACATCTTCCATCTGTACGGCTCATTTGCCTGGCTGGGCATTCTTGGTGATGAAAGGAGGCTTTAAGAGCTTATTGAATTTTTAGACATTGGACTTGTTACCTCGGGCAGACATCAATTACACTTTTTTTGTTGAAAGAGTGGCTTTCCGCTTTCGCCATGAGAATAGGCAATGAAAAGCTCTCTTTGTACATGTAGGTAACAGTCCTGTCAGCTTTCCAGGTCTCAACAAAAGCCTTTCATGATGGCACCCCATTTCTTGGTTAGTTAGCTGCTATTCCTGTTAGTACGACTCAAACCACAGTAGTTTGTGAGACAGACCCCCTTACTCAACGAGGCAGAACTTACGCACTTGCGTGGTTGTGCGGTTAACTGTGGCGGGCCACAGGGATGAATACTGAGTAGGCCACGTTCGTACCCCGAGCCGTCAAGTCTCCATAACACGTTTTTTACTTCGTTTTTTGGTCACTATCATTTTCTCTTAGTAACGGCAGCCATCACAACATGGGAGCAATCAGAATATTGTATATAAATCCTGAAAAAAAAATGACAATATCAATGCACCATGGGGGCTGTGCCAGCCACACTCTTCATCAGTAGATTTGAGGGGTGAGCCAGTGAATTGCCAAGCCACGTTACCAGCAGTACAGCAATCATACACGAATAGGCAGTCGTAGGAAATCCAATAACATCGCCAAAACCTCCTTTTACAAGATCGTGCAATTTACATTTCGTAGACTCCGGGTAAAAGGGCACGTACTGTGTCATAATCTAGTGCAGCAAAAAAGGCTCGCAGCCCTCTTGATGCCATTATCTCTTAAGAATGACGTCGTTTCTTTCAAGATGTTTCATCTCTGTGCAGCATTACACAGTGGAGACTCTAATCCTCCTCCTGCCAGCAATCTGCCCTTGAATAGCAGGATTTGTTAGATTCATGGCACCCCGTGTAGATAACTAGCCCTCAGTGTGTTCTCCTGTTAATATCTTATCTCTAAAACAATAGCTCTGTCTGATGGTAGTGTATACTGAATGTGAGAGATTTGGGACTGTACATGTGAGATACATGGCCCTTGATAAGGATGCCTGTTGGGAATGGGTTAGTCAGACTGATAGTGGCTGATACTGCGGGCTACTGCAGCTTTAGGAAATGGCAGGAAATGGCAAACCGTAATAGCAACATAATGACCGTTTCCAGTCGTTATCAGGTAATGGAATACAGGTTAGGATTCGCCTCAACGTAGTGATCCGATCGTCGGTTGTCGTTTTAAGAGCAGGTGATACCCGAGTAAATCTTTTGTCATATTTATCATGTCTTGTTAAATTTCCTTCCCACTTATGTTTTTTAAAAACCTTTTACAAAGTAGCATAAAATTTGAGATGAGAAATGAGAAAAAGCTATCGTAAAACCTAATGCAAGTCAAGCCATCATATTATGATGTGGACATGTAACACTAATGCACGCTGTTCTTTTATCTGCAGGATCAAAAGTACCAGGGCCAGAAGAGACGGTGGAAGGACCTCCATGCCAAACTGGCTCACATCAAGAATTGTATACTAGAATACGACAGGGCCAACTTCCCCTGCACATAGCCAGAAGGGTACCTCTTCACCACAACATATCTCTTGTTCACGGACTTACGATGTGGAAATGAAGCATTAGGACTGGATAATTATGGCATCGCACTCCGCCGGCCTCGTTACTCCCCGACAATCCTCATAGAAACAATCACAACGGTGCGTCGCTTCCAATCAACACCAGCATTGATAAATATAGAACTAGACCGGTATATGATGAATTACGATCAGAGCCTTGTAGCTGTCGATTTTCCCCACCGAAGTCCTTCATTTGTTGTGGCACGACTCTTGTCTGCAAGGCTAACTGCGAGTGTCAGAAAAGTTGACATCGATGCCGTTATCCATAAGCTTATGAATCAATTCATCCAGCGACTGCTGCACCAAGTCAGTACCCGGGTGGATAAGTGAGGAATATTTATGAGTTCCACTGTCCCAGGGTCCCGGCACGTTGGGAAGTGGGAAGTAGAGATGTTCAGTGGAGTGTGGTGCCAGCGAGGACTTGGACTTACCCCCTGTGTCACCCGCTGTGGCCTCGAGGAATCAGCCTGCTAGGAAAAATCTCCCAGGTGGAATGTGTTAAATGCAGGGCTCGTAACCACGACTTGAAAAGCAGGGAAGGTGTGTAATCTTCCTGTCAGTTACTTGTTCAAACTTTCCCGTCCTGTTTCAAAAAAGCTTCACCTATTCGCAGTTCAGTGGTCGCAGTCACTGTCTGGCCTTCTTGCTGACTGACGAAGATTGGAAGGGTCACCTGTTGTGTGTCTAATGCATTCAGCACAACTATAATTAGCCCAGAGAATAAATGAATAAAGGAAAAGAAAAAAAAGGAAATGCAAGCAAAAGATGATCAGCCGACAGCAAGACGTTTGCTGGGACAGGTGTTTCAAGAAGTTGGCAGTAAGCACATATTGTACTTCTGCCCCACATCCAAAAGAAAGAAAGGATGTCTTTTGCAAATTGTTCTTGCTACTAGTAGCACGGAAAGTGCCAAGTCTCACCAAGCCAATGCCAGGCTTCAAGTACAGCACAAACAGGAAATTTCCTCTCTTTGGGAGGAAGTTTTCCAACCTCGAGGTCACAGTGCGTGGCACAGCCCCAAAAAAGTACTATTTGCTTTTGCTGCTGCAATTAATTGATATCCAAGTACATTGTATTAATATTATTGTTATCCTATAATAACTAGGTATATTTAATGTGTAAATACACTAGGCCAACAGGGCTAGGACTAGTAGCTCAATTTACCCCTGAACAGTATTGTCCCTCCTTGAGCATTTGCTGTGAGAGGATTTTTTTTTTTCAGTCTTTCCTTTTCTTAGCGTACATGACCTTGCACAGGTAGCAATTCCACACCAATGATTGCAGTAATCAGGAAAACTGGATGCGTGGACACGGTCTATTAAGTGCGGATGAGAAACCCTCGCCTACACGCAGAGTTCCACTTTCTTAGATATGTTAATCCGAGGCATAAGGAAACAGCGGATCTTAAGCCCCCAGCAGGTTCCCTTATACACTTTCCAATCATGGCGGGGTTTTTGCACAACCAAAGTTTTTTTTCGAGGGTAGCGGGGCTCTGTTCCACCACTACGCGGCACGACTTTGTTAACTCAGCTGAAGCAGCAATCTCGGCTTGAACCTGGGGGCAACAAACAACGTGGCGGGAATTCCCTGGGAGGAAAACTTCTCATAAAGTGTTACACCTTTTCCAAGGCCATCTTTGGACTGCATTTGGCCCAGGGCATTCCCTCTGGAATGTGCATGTGGTACCCCACCTCAGGCTATGTATGCCCACTCCACTAACACAATCTTGTGATCATATCTTATTGACCCTGCAGCTTTCCTTTGTACAACAGTCTTCCTATAATGAGGAAAAAAAGACTGTTGTTTGATATTGTTATCTCCTACTTACAATGTAGTTGCTTTCAACGTACCGGTAGTTGCTTTAATCACTGAAAACATTGGGAAAAGTGCTGTTTATATCTATAAAACCCCTATGATATAACACAGCAAGTCAACATATCACTTGCATTAATATATCTATGTGAACACACATGCATATACCTTTGATTTAGATTATACCCGCATGCATTATGCATATTTCCTTGGACATGTTGGCCCATTTTTATTTTGTTGATATGTTCTTTTGACTGTAAACTCAAGGATACCGGCCGTCTCAGTCCCTTAAAACCTTGAAGTACGCCAGAATTTTACGGTCTGTAGCAGAGTTTTCCTCTATCAAAGACGAGTTTCATCCTCAGAGAAACACTCCAAATGGAAGCAGTGAAAAAAAGAGTGCTGAGTCAGTGCCATAAAAGATTTCGCCAGAAAATTGTTTGGCATTTGAGGAGAAGCTTATGTTGCAAATGAGTGATTTGATGTCTCATTTCCGCACAGTTTATGATTGTGTGCAGCCAGACTCTGCCGTAAAATGTGCCGGGCCTCACATGGGTGAACATATCGCCGGCTGTAAAACTAATTCTTCTGCAGTGGCAACAGTAAAAACATTCCTGTAAGAGCTCTGAGATTAATACCGCGTTCCCCTCGGAACTGTATTTCACTTGCCATCAAGCAAATTGCCACACGGGTAAGCCTGTATGATTCGATTTGGAAAATGTCCAATATGAGGCGAGTCCCTTCTTCTTCTGAATCATGAAGACCCAATGCAATACATACTTTCAATAATGGTTCCACGTAACAACTGCTGCACGTACATTCTTTGCTCGTTCCCACAGATCAGATTTGAGTTTCATGCTGTTAGCCAAAGATCCAAGAGCAACATTCCTACAGATAGCAAGCAATTCTATTCCAGTAGTGCCATTCCTTGCATTCAACAACTCTAAGACTCATCCTTGTATTGTGTTCTCTGAGTGGGTCTGTTGTTTTCAATGTACTGTACATTTTTCACCTGTTGATTTTATCTTCTTCACCATAACATCTCTGATATCAAAGTTCTACTACCCTAACATCCCACCACTGGTAGTGTTTTAGCAAAAGAAAAGTACTGAGTTGAACCAAGGACGTTTTATAACGTCCTATATGTTGAACTTTTGGTAGCCTGCATGTATTTTGGCCTGCATTTCTGTACTGCCAAAACAGTTTAAGACTGTGCTTCAAGAATGGTTCTCAGAGAATGGTGTGATGTAACGTATGACAGTGCTATAATCACTAGCCCAGTGGGGGGTACTGCTATCCACATCTACAACATAAAACCACTTTCACAGCAGCTGGAGATTAATCGCTTTAGAAGAGAAGTTTTTTTTTATGTTTGAATATGGTACTTGAACTGTACATTGTGCTGTAATGTGGTGTGGGTTAAAACAGATCTTCTCATTGACTGAACAACACAAAAAGTTGCCGTTTCCCCACGTTATCTCTGCACCCAGGTACGCTCAAATGTTGGAATTGATGTGAAGTGTTGGCACATCATTCTGTACTGGCGACCTCTCAGCAAAGACCAGTACAGATGGAGACTTTTTGTGGTCTGTTCTTTTCAAGGTCTCCTCTTTGGAACCATAGATCAAGACTTCATCAAACCATTATACCCTCCAGTTATTCAGATTTCTGTGTAGCCATCCTGATTAGGTTATATCCACTCTGAAGAATGGTAATACCATATGCACTCCAAGGGTTGAAACTATTGTGAAAGGGTCCCAGGCTAACCTCTGTCAGAATTGTATACTAACTGTATGGCCACAATGGCAGGACAAATCAGGAGTTCTAACCAGAATACAGAATGTTTTAAAAACAAATTGGAGACTGTAGAGCAGTCTTTGGATGTAGCAGAACTTTTTTTGCACGACTCTTTCTCTCCCTTTTGTGACACAGACCCATGTATGAAACGAGACAGCCGTGGCGTCCCAGAACTAAAGAACAAATACGTGATTATGCCACATGCAGTCTGAAAGGCATGAAGGATAGATAGCAAAGTCACACAAAGTCAGGGCACGACGGAATATTCCGGCAAAAGTGCATGGACATTAAGATATTCTATTCCCCCATCACATTGAGCCTGATAACTACCTAGTGCCACGTTAGAAGTTACACATTAGGTATTGCAACTTATCTTCAGACTGCACGCTCTGCTAGTGATCAAGATATCGCTTCTTAGTCACCCAGGGTAAGCCCAGGGATACTTTGCAATGCCACTGGCGTGATCTTAATTTGCAAATTGATTGGATCCCCGTGTCGTGATTGTGTAAGGATGAGCTCCTTTGTTCAGCAGTAATTGTGTATTAATATAAAAATTGAATTTGAATTGAACTGCCCTGTATTGTGTTGTGTTGGACGAAGGTGTGCTAAATTAGCAAAAACTTTTTTGTCAAAGACAAGTAACAAAAATGATATTCTATTTATTGTATTTAATTACTTGTTATTCCCTAATTTTGAGAAATGACAATATGCATTTTCCTATTTGCTGATTTGTGTTATTAATAAGTACTTTGTTTCAAGAAGGTGGACTTACATGAATGCAAGAATTGACCAGCTCTGTTTTGATTGTGACTCAAATTATGCAAAGAAATGATGTACCAGTGGCTTCTAACCTATACGATATTCCTTCCCTTAAACTGACACAACATTGTTTTTAAGTTCAGGTTTGTTGAGTTCACAAAATAATGAACTAAGACTGTCGTAAGCCACTACAAAATTTTGTTTTGAAATTTTCAACAAGGGAAGCAGGAACCTGTTTTTTCCTATGTGACCGTAACAGTATTTCATAACCATCTAACGTCGACCACTTGTTCTCTTTTTTTTAAGTTGGAAAGAGATGAGAGCATTTTATTGACATGTACTATGTATGTGTGACAAGAAGCTTCTGCAATAAAGGCGAGAAACGAGCAGTTCAAAAGCGTGTCAGTCCCTCATGTTTTATTTTCCTCATGCATGGCCATAGCCCTGTGGCAACTTGTTACAGGAGAAGGAATGGGCTGCGCTTCTGTTCCGCCTTTCTCAGACCATCATTATATTCTCCGCACAACCCACTACGACAAGTACGGCGTAAGGTATGAATACTGTCAGGCTGAAATATTCTGGTGTGTGTGTGTACTAGAGAGGGAAGACAATCAGCAAAGGTCTGCAGTTTCAGTCATTGTCAAGGAATTGAGCAAGGAGGTAACTAGGTTTCACACACGCACCGTTGGAGGAAATTGTGACAATGCATCTTGTATGATAGAGGTCAGCATTCATGTTCAAGTACACTATTTATCCCACATACATTTTCCAATCTGGTGCGCAAAGGGTTAACCTTGGATTGAGTATATCATGAGTTAGAGTGAAACTCCATGAGTATATACATGTATAGCAAAGTATATTGAGTGACTACTAGTACATATTTTTGCACTTGAATAGTGGAATGCTTCAAAAGTTGGGAGAAGTGTTTGAATCACTGTTGCAGACCTGTCATAAAGGATAAAAGAGATGCGATTTCAACGTACAGATTGGACAAAATGTGGCCACACAGTTGCATGGTACTCCTTACAAACAGGAAGGTAGTTTGGGCTCAAGAAATGAACAGGCATAACTTATCTTTCGTTATGCGTAGAGTCGTAGACACATCTTATTTTGACGTTGCAGTGTTTTCAAGCAGGCTGTGACAGAACAAGGATTAAAGGTCTATACAAAGAATGTCCTCACGATCACACAATGTATGTGACTGAACCATTTATAGTATACATGTATATAGTGCTTGTAGTAGAAATATACGTAAAGTTGCTGCCAATTACATGTACATGTATACATGTATGTAGACATCCAAAATCTCATTTTTATGAAATTCTTATCAAACATACTAGAAAGTGACCAACTTGTCAGAATTACAGAGTGGCAATGAACATCAGAATACAACCTGCAATAATGATGCAAGTGAAGTTTGCAAAATATTGACTTGTTTGCTGCAGTACTCAAAATGTCCCATAGGGGCTCTCTTTGTTGTGGATTAGACCATTTATGCCAGTAAGCAAGTCAGATATCTGAATGTCGACTTAGAGCAAATTGACCACGTATTGACAAATTTGTGAAACAGGAACAGGAATACGTTTGTATGATTTTAATCTCTACTGATATAGTATAATATTGCTTTGATCAAGAAGGTTAAAAATCAAAGATCTAGTCTACCAGACTCCATGGTCAAGTAGCCAGCCACAACGTTACTGGTGCCATTCACTATGAACAGACGAGAACTCATCATCTACCAGCCTTTTGGAGTCTGCTACAGGATGAAGAAGATAGAGAAAAAGTTTCAAAAGATAAGGCCACAACAATTTAATTAGTTGGTTCTTGGATTTGCCTGCTTCAATTTTTTTTCTCTGATTTGATCTGAATAGAAATAAAAATAACACAGTACACTGTTTTGACAAAAAGGATAAAAATTCATCGTTTGAATTATAAACAAGCCTCAGGGCACCTATCATAGCTTTGGGGGCTATCAGAGGATGCCTAGGTCTGTTTTTTTTTTTTTGCCCTGTGGCTTCATTACTTTTTTGAAAATATCAGAACCAAACAAATACAAATTGGTGTGGACCTAAAATAAATTCTAACAGATCTTACGGTTATTTCCCTGGTTACACTTGAACCAGACTGAGTGAGGACATACATGTACCCCCGCCCTCCCCCATCCCATGTGTTTGAACAAACTGAAGGGAGAACAGGAGGCAAATCTAAGAAAAATACACACATCTCCTACCTAGGATTGTACATAACCATATGTTTTCCATGTACAACGTTAAATAATGTGCTGCCCAAAGCCTCTCCCGAGATGACCTCTGTCCGGAGACAATTTGTCCCCTTCACCTCCTGAAAGACTGACCAGTGGGTTCCCAGCCAGACCACAAATTTACACCTCCAATGGCTGTAAAACAGTCCATAAGTCGGGATGGGTCACAGTATTTATGTGCACTTTCACACCAGAGTGCGCTCCCAGCCTCAGGAGGCTCATTCGGGAGTGTGGGGATAATGTGATGAACTTAAACTCACCTCCATGACTTCATATGCCTACAAAACGGCCCACCGAGGCACAGGTGCGAACAGACAATGAATAAATTTTGACTAAAGCACACATTATTTGTGGAGTTATGAAACTCAACTGTGTAATTTCAAGCTCTGTCAGGCCTACCCACCCACCTTGGAAGGAAGCGACACTGAAGATAGTAATCGTCACAATTGGTGATGCTAGACCTGTAGTCGCTAAGCCCTTCTGGTGTTACTGACTGCCCAGTTCTAGTTCTCCTTGACACGTTTTTAAGACCATTTAAGTTATACATCCATTGGGTACTGTCCTTACGATGACTGCTATAAATTTACCCAAGGAGGTCTAAATGAGACATCCTTGGTTCACCCAATTTATACTGTTGTGGAATTAAGGATAAGTCTGGGTTTTTCCATCCACTGTGTTACTTTGCTTCATCTGTTAAGATCATCAAAATACTAGGTCTCTACTTAGATCACAAAACACGTTATATTATGCAGAATGTGGGACAATTCATTTATCCACTGCATTCAAAGAAGAAGTCAAACCCCATAATAGTAAACATAGTATAGTATAAGCTGATCAGACAGTTGTTGTATGTCTCCTATTGCTTTCTTTGACCTTATTTTGTTTGACACTGTGCAAGCAATTAGCCATCAATTTTAACATAATCTTGCAAAATGTAGTGTACTATACAGTTATTCACAGGCATATGAAACTGACCAAGCATTCAACCTTGAAGGGGACTTCGTTGTTCTAGATTGCTTACCTCTCAGGACCATCAGACTTTGAGAGGAATCGGAAACTTAATTCTGGGTACCGTGCCTCTAGGGAAGTTGTCATTGATTCTTCGCACTGAAATGGAGTCCTTGTGATGAAAAGGTAATTTGCTGGGATTTGCTGACTTGGTATTTGGGTTAATGGTCAGTTAGAAAACACCGTTTTAGGTGAGACAAATGGACAAAATCCTGACTAACACTTCATGGTCAAGCCCTGCTGTCTTGCAGCCACCCCAATTTGATTTGTTGGTTCTTAGATTTTTTCAGAAAAAAATAGATAAAAAAGGGCCTAGGCATCCTATGATAGCCCCAAATGCTATGATAGGGGCCATGAAGTCAACATACCAGGCTGGTTTGTAATTCAAACAATGAATTTTGAACTTTTAACGAAACCACTGTATCTCTGAAGAGAACAGTTCCTTCAACTGTACGTTGGGGTCAAAATAAAGAGCCTGAAATGTGCTGAAATTTTCTTTGCAAATCAGAAAAAAATGAAGCAGGTGAATCCGAGAACCAACTAATTAAATTGTTGTGGCCTAATGCCTCTTTATTCCTTCTTATTCTGTTTTTCACCATTATCAATGATGGTTGACATCAGATGAACTTCAGTAAGGGAAATGGAGGGAGTGAATTTAGCACAGAAATATTTTTTTAGTACAAGAGGACATGGATGTTGGCAATACCTAAACAAAAGCTAATTTATACTGTTTATCGATAGCAACATTAATTTTGGTGTGCATATGATTGCATTCCGCAAGCAAAATGACAGCCTATGACCTCAAGTTTACATGTACACGTATGTCTGCATCCAGTTGGACTTCAATCCGTTGTCATGACTTTGATTTTTTTTTCAGACTTTTCTTACAAACGTTCAAAATTAGGAAGAGCGATAACAACACCTGCATACAGTTTCTGCATGCTCTACTCATCCACAAAAGCATTATTTACTTCAGAACAGTATCAACGTGTGGTACATTTGTCAATATATCACTGCTAGCATGAACCCATGGCTTCCCCTGTATTACTGTCAAAAGGGGTTTAACTTTAAGAAGGTGTCAGCTAAAAAAGTGATAAATTGTAATCAAGAAATCATTATTGATGATAATTTAGTCCCAGATTTCCTGAGAAGGGGGATCCCTGTGGCACCCTGGGGTGTTGTGTGGTTGAAGTGACAGCTGGTGTATTGGAATTTAATCAGCCGCAGAGAATTACCTTTAATCCAGCCAATTATGTACCAATACATCTTCTGTCAACCTTACATGATATTTGGATTGTATACAATGGTGATTTTAATGGGATATTTGCAGGGAACAATTGAAGAAATATCCGCACAATATGTTTCAGCAGGTTGGGCTCTCATGGGGTAGCTCTGAATGCTACACCCAGTCTCTATGTTTCTCTGCCACAGAGAATTTAATTAATCCAGCCACTTCATCTTCTGTCAACCTTGCATGATATTTGGATTGTGTACAATGGTGATTTTAATGGAAAATTGGCAGGAAACAGCTAAAGGAATAGCTGCACAATATGCAGGGTTGTCCTGAGGCTTGTAATGGGAGGTTTGTAAATACCAGATCGTATTTTGACATCCAACATTAAAAAATACCCAAAGTCCCTATCTGAGCCTCTCAAGCACATGATGGAAGCTCCTTGCACAGACATATAACAATTTAACAAATCATTCAAATACACTATGTTTATAAAATGTTTGAACCAAACATTGATGCAGTCTCTCAAGAGCTGATACTATATAGTGATAACATCGTGCTTTGCAAGAGCTTAAAAATCCATTTAACAGAATGGCCTTGGAAAGAAAATGTATACTATAGGATTTGAGTAGGTGAATTTAAATGTGCAGGTTAACCCTCCCATTGAAAGTACCATGGCCAATAAAAATATGCTTTATAACCGGATGTCGAGAGGATTAATCGAATGTAGATATCTCTATGTTACATGTGTTATCAGAATTCGAGTGTGTACTTCTGTCGTTGACTGACTGCCCTAAGTTCTGAACTTGATAACTATGGTGGAGAAAGCCCATCCAACCTCAACCTGCACCCACCCACACAGTTCAGGCAGGTCACAACACACAGGGCAGATGAGAATTTCAAAGTAGAGCTTTAACTCGGACTGTCTGACACCCTGCACGCTATGATGGGAAACGATGGGAAACTGGAGGGTTAGCTACATGTATGTGTACAGTACTACAGATCCTTGTGCTGGTTCTATTGTGTAAGGCCATACTGATTTAATTTTATGGATGACATCCACACGTGACTTGATTTTTGCCTGTTCTCAAAAAAAAATCATCTCTGACGAGGCTCTGGCCTGGGTGCCGTCCTCCATAGTCCATGGTAGTTAACGACAGTAGGGAGCCGGTGGCATTACTGGAGGATGGCACCCAGGCTGCCGGAGCTCCACAGAACTCAAGTACCCAGTACAGTGACAACCATATTATAATGCCGCAAAAGGCCAGCATGTGTCGGCTTATCGTAAAAGTCGCTATGTACTAGCATTTTTGGGGCTGGAATTTTTTTTATTTTGCCCGTGTGCACTATAGTTTGGAGGTCTTCAGAGGATGTCATCCATAAAATTAAGTCAGTGTGGCCTAAGGGAAATAACTAGTGTGCCTCCATACTTACAATACCATTGCGGAGAGGACCAAAGCTTGATACCAGGCCACTACGTAATGATATTATCATTATACATTCTTAATATTTTTTTAGTAAGGTTAAACCAATAATTAGATTGATACGGCCTTAAAGTTAGAGACAGGATTTGACCAATTGTTTACAGGTCATCTTACTGACAGGAAGGATTTGTGTTAAAAGCAACTCTTGGACATGTTGACAGCTACTCTGCATGGCCTTCCTTTGTTTGGCTGAAGCTGCTTACAACCCTTTTGCTCCAGTATAAACTTTGGAGTGATGTTATCAATGCTCAGAAATGCGTAGCATATCTATTAAACTTTTAAAGTCTGATGACGTTGTCTTCTTGAAATAACTTCTATGCTATCAAATGGTTCAGAATATAGACTTTTATTTGCTTATAAGCTTTAGAAACGTTAAAGACCTACAAATATCTGTCCACACCTCTGAAAAAAAGTTTTGAATTGACAGTGCGCCCCTCTAATCCGTTATGCGCCACGTGAGACAGAAAATTTGTGATCTGCAGTCATTACAACCCAGTCGTCCCCAATGAAAAATCAGATATAAGCTCTTGATCTTTTTCAACTCCCGGTCAGGGATGCCATTCTGCTCATGTTGAAAACACCAGTTGGAATGGTGCCAGGATGATTCCCCTAAGATCAGGCCAACCTTAACAAGTCCGTGATGGATGTCAGCTGTTCTCTGGCCTTTTATTTTTGCACCCTGCAATGTTACAGTTTTAAGACCATACTTTGTATACTGGTACTACCAGTGTTGAAGCCAGTCTGAATTTTTTTCCGTCATTGCAATTTTGTTTGACGTATCGAACGCACCTGAAGTGCGACAACCCTAGGGGGTCGGGGGGTGTCCTGGAAGATTTTAAAATCTTGGCCCCCTGTATGCTTTTTCCTGCATTTTTAGGGGCAAATTTTCCTGGTAGACTAAGTTTACACCTCTTTTCATATCTTTACACACCAAGTTTTGTCTGTAAAAGATGAAGGATTGGGCAAAATTTTTGTCTGTCATGAGAGTCAAAATTTGGTCAAATGACAGAAAGATGGATGGAAGCTAGCTAGAACGCTGCTGTACACATTACATAGTCATTTTTTTGCTTGAAGATCTTAAAATATAAATGAAGTTTATACATTTCAAAGAGACTGGGAGACAAGGTGGAGAGAGCCCAGTCCACGTCTAAAATTGATGTGTTTCAGATAATCTCATCATAACAGTAACAGTTTCATTCCATACTTTACGTACACAGTCACTTTCTGCTGAAGATCTCGAAGATCAATGCAGTTTATCATGATATCAATTCTGACACATATTTCAAAGAGGGTCCTGGAGACAGCAGGGCCAAGAGATAGAGCCCAGTTCTGGTCTAAAATTGATGTGTTTCAGATGTTTCAGAAATTCAGATGCTCTCATCATTTAAAAGTTGAGCAATGGAGAATTTTTTTGATCGACAAAGAAGAAGTGTTTCGGAAAATTCAACTGGAAGAGTCATCACATTTCAATCCAAATAAAAGAGAGGGGAGTTAAAATTGTCATCGTTCCCTTGAGACCGTGCATTGGTCTACACAGCAGCTTGTGTGTTATTGATCGTTGTGCTAGGAAGATTATGACGATGATGATGAATAGTTTATTGAAGGTGAATCATAAAACACAGCTCATAAAGCATTGCATGGCCTCTTACACACTTGATATAAAAAGGCTTGGTTTCTAAAATACATATCAGCCGTACAATACTTTTACTGGAAATATGACCATTATGAGGCATCATCATCAAATGGATTTGCGATTGCTCTTATTCAATCAATTTCTGAGTAAATTGGTACATAAGGCTTCTGTTTAATCTTTAAAATCGTACTGTGCCTCATGAAATCATGTAGGTATGATGTATAAAAGCTATTCATATGAGGAAGACAGATTGGTAGAGTGTAATTGGTAGGTGAGTGATTGTTAACGATCATTGGTAACAATAATCATGATTGATTTAAGTAAAACAACCGTAAAAAGTACCACACAACACAGAATGTCATTCAAATGGCCAAACCTTAGAAATGCATTACAAAAAGACCACTCAAAAAGTTATAACTTCTTTTTGTCATATTTCATCACTTTTTGTCATATTTCATCAATGAGAATGTCAGGAATTTTCTGGTACTGTGCAACTTATCTTGACAGTTCCTCAGATAATAAATTATAAGCGGAGCTAAAAGTTAATTGTTTGATCAAAGAAGTGATGTTTTCACCAATGTTGGGAAGAACTGTTTACCTTAAGTAGTCACGTGACGAGCGTAGTCAGTTACCAAAAGAAAACTTTACGTCACGTGACCCAACAGTACGCATGGCGCCGATCTCCGAAAATTCTTCTGGAGTCTGTGCGGCTCTGACGGCAAGGATCCTACTCTAAAACTGCGGATTTACTACAAAAGCGACCGAGGATTTTCTACCATGGTGGCCGGGCGATCTGCTGTCGCGTCCTGTTGGATGTTTGTGGCGGTGGCGGTGGCGTTTCTTAGCGGGGAGAGTTTGGCAGGTAAGCCGGGGTGGAGGGAGAGAGTCTCGGTCACGGTGGGGTGGGAGGTACCGCAGCTGGAGTACGTTTGCCGAGAAGGGCCACAGCCCGGGCTATAGCGCCCTGACAGCAAGTCATGACCATTTTTACTGTGCATGCCCTCAATTGTCAGATAAAGCAAGGTCATACAATTGTCTCATCCACACGTCCTGGGATAAAGCTGTTTTATGAGCAGCGATCGGGTCTATTTTTGCGCAAGTGTGTTTATGTTACGAGGCGTTGGAAAGATGTGTGGGGTGTGTGTGAGGCGAGGAGGGCGAGTTTAGTCTCGGGAGTAACAGCAAATCGTCTGCGGTTCCTCGTGCTGGGGTTAATTTACAGCTGGTTTTACAATCTGCGAGGATCGCAGACACAGTTGGCAGACTGGCCGTGAAGGTCGAGGAGTAACAAAACTAGGGTCGCCGGCTACAATTATAGGGTAAACACGAGCTGAATGAAGGGCGTTCTCCGGTACTTCGCGGATCACTGACAAACGAGCTTGAGCTATCCGTAGTATCTTTCTCGAGCACGCAGACAGGCCTGCATTTAGCGGGTCCTTCAGACCGACAGCTTTTACAAATGTCGGTCATTTATCCCCAGTCTGGTTTGCCTTCATCCCGGCGTAATTTAGTCGGGAGAAAAGAAAAGCGGGAGTACAAACACACGGGAACCGGGTTGAGTTAAAAGGACCCCCGCGGGATTTTAAGGTGACCGGCCCCGTGTGGGAACTGAACCCTTTACTCCTCGCGCGAGCGTGACTTTTGAGGAAAACATCACGCCACTGTCCGCCCACATGTCGAACTGCAAATTAGAAAATATAACGTTAGGTCTGACCACTTCCCGTGGCTCTTGGCCGCCACCGATTGGAAGTTGGCAGGGAGACAGGCTCACAGGATGTCTTGGGCTACTAAACAGCAAACCTTATCTATCATAAGAAAGCACGGCCAAGTCGTAAAAAAACAAGCGTTTTCAGTAGGAATTCCTCTGAAATCTTCTCCGTAAAGCAGTATCTTGTTGTCGTTGAATACCCTGATCCCGGTACATGTTATGACAGGCGAGTTGTGTTTGTACTGGTTCGGGACCGTTAGCTGAGCAGTCTGCGTCCCGTCTGGCGCTGATCCTTGTCAGCCTCAGAAAGTGAAACTGGATAGTCCCTGCCCCAGGGTAAAGAAACGCGGCCAAGAGCTCACAAATTTTCCTCGCCCCTCACCCAAGTCTGAACCCTCCAGATGGATCCCACCGACCTTTATGAATGGTGCTTTAATATTATCCTACGCCCTTCTAGTTCTGTGATTGATTCCAGTGATTTTTTGCTTGCTGTCCCACATTTCCTCCTCCCACAAAATGTGTTGATCTCCAACATTCCACCTATCAAGTGAGGCCATAGGTGGATCGATTTACTGTGTTTACCACAGATCAATGTACTGTGGAGTAGCCTCTACCAGGCTTGAGGGCACGGCTGGAATTATAGTAGAAATCGGCCCGAAATAGAGAGATAACACGCCGAGGGAGTTTAGCCATCCAGTTTACAGTTTGCCGGCCCACAACTGTAAACTGGATGGCTAAACTCCCTCGGCGTGTTATCTCTCTATTTCGGGCCGATTTCTACTATAATTCCAGCCGTGCCCTCAAGCCTGGTAGAGGCTACTGTGGAGAGTGTGAAACAGGTTTTCTTGCTCCTTTTTTTGTGGAATGGGCTGTGCTATATTTATTATATATAATTATGGAGTGTTTCGGCTTGTCTGCTTATTTGTTACTGATTTGATATGTCACAATAGACTCAGATCGGTACATGTTCAGGACAGAATTTAATATCTTACATGTCATTTGATAGGAGAAAGTGCTTTTCTTCTCATTGACATGCAGGTGGGATAATACAATATCCTTCCGATGGCTTCCTGTTGCATATGACAGTTTCCTTCCCACAAGCATCGCCTACATTTGTCAAAAATCTGCGGGACATTTAGGAACTGAGTTGCTTGTTCCGTACAGTTAATTTTTGTGCTCCATCTGAGAGACCATTATCAGAACATGACGAAATGTAGGGACTAAAGGCCAGTTGTTAAATATGTATACAGTATAGGGAGACTAATGTCTTGTGGCCATTGCAGAGGAAAGTGTTGTTTGCATGTGTTAAAGAGTGTTGGGTTAGATTTTCTTCTTAAATACTATTGTAATAATATTACTGATTTCCATTGCCACATTTCTTTGTGTATTGTTTCCTTGTAATGTAGAACGATACTAAAACTATATCATTTTCCTGCACATAGTTTTGAATGCAAATCAAAATTTGTATTTGATTATATTAATAATTATACTATGACTAGTAAAGGAAGATTTTTTCCCTTTGTCTGTCATATTCCAAGATTGATTTCCTCAATGTTGTCATCAATGTGATCAATAATATTCTCCAAGCAGAGGTTTCATTCTAGGGGGGGTTAGAATGGTTGGGATTCTTACGGCTGCCCCCTCCATTCTAACCCCCTCCCCGCCTAACCCAAACCTCTGATTTGAGAATAATCAATCAATCAGTTGCGACTGGTCAGCTGGATACCCCTGTTTGTTAGTGTGTTTGCTGTCTTTTCCACCAAGTCTTGCTGTGAGGTTCAAGGAAATTTACTTCACCGTTTTAGGCCCGCCAGATGTTCCTTGCAGGGAGACAGGAAGTCGTGATTTGGAAAAGCGCTGTTCCCTTCCTACAGCAGTATAGAATTTCTTCACCCTTATCTAATTTAAGGTAGACATGTGTTCTGCCAAGTTTAAAGATGGTGAAGTGTGCTGGGTTAGGTATGTTTATCTTGAGGTAGATGCGCTGACAAAAATATTCATTGACAGCTTGTGTATAATACAGGGTATAGGATACTGCCTGTAGGTAAGGGACCCACCTACTGTAAGGTATCTAATTTTCTGTCAGCAGAAGCCTATGCCAATCAGCAGTCAGTATTGATTAGTTGAAGTGTACCATGTTGTGAACGCAGTTTGGAACATGGTCAGAATAACTGATAATTCTAAGCAGACTCACCGCTGTATCTTACCTGTGCTGCTCCCTATTATACATGTACAGCCATGGTCTGTTGTTTGAGTTTCCCCAATTGTACTGTGTACTTACAACCCAAACCTCAGTTTGTTTAACAGTGATCTATTTACTTTGGGATTCCCTTAGAGATTACAGGATGTCTCCTTTGGCCTCCTTGTAAAACAGTACTGGTAGTACTGTAAATCATGATTTTTTTTCGCGGTACTTTTATATTCACAGTTTCAATTCTGTGCCGCGAGCATATAGTAGTGTGAACAATTAATTCACCGATTGTCTTTTTGCTGCACCTGCCGCCACCGCGAACATATAGTTTGACGAACATGTCAATTTTTCTCAGACCACGAACTTTTGCTACGGCGAACATAAAGTGATTTACAGTAAATGGTATTGTACTGGGTAATGCCTACACACCTGTTCAGTCTGGTCACGGACTACTTACCTCAACTTAGGAGGTCATGTTTTCTCCAGTGTGTTTGCAGCCATGATAAATCAAACATATGTGATTGCGACTTGGTTTTTATGAGTTTTGTGTTGTGGATAGATCATAGTGTAATATGTAAAAAGAAAATCAAATTCTAGGATGGATCCAAAGCTGATTTACAATACATATATTGTTTAGAAATTCAATACCTGGATTTATGATTCTTCTGGTGTTGGATAATTCCAGCAAATCGGAAGCTGCCAATCAAATCACCCCATACGATAGTCGGCAAATCTTGGATGTGATCAGCCATATGCACATGTAGGGTAATATGATTATATCTGCACATTTTGTAATTTATATAATCTTTTCTGCAGCTGTTGCCAATTCATATCACATATGGTTAACAACAAACCAGTGAGTGATTGCTACAAGGTAGCATCCTATTTGTATACCACTCTGAGGGCTCTCTCATACTCGCTCCATAGGATCAATGCACAGAAAAAATCTCAGTGGGGTTTGCTACAATCAAGAACCAAAACAGCTGGAATTGCCATTTGCCAAGTCAAAATATTTCAGTTGGTTTGATGTTCATGTACAGAGCAGATAATCTGCTGTAATAGACTAGAATGGTCTACAGAATATCACCATGACAATAGGAAAGAACAATGTTACTACAAAATTGTACACATCTAATTGCTGAAAGGGTGCATGTGAAATGACCACTGTACACTGGCACTGGGTTGATTATCTCAGCGACAACAGAGTGAGTAAACACTAGTGTTTACCAAAGCTGTTAGCAAGATGTAGTGTTTATGTACTGTGACTGATTGCACGGCAAGGGAATTCCCTCAACTGAGCACACAAGTGTCTGGTGGAAATCACCAGGCGTGGGGTTTATGCATGGTTTGTCAACAAGAAATCCTGTTTGAAGTCTAACCACAGGCAAAAGGCGATTGATTTTTTTTAGCCGAATTCCTGTGTTAGATTAATGAAGTGAGTATTCGGTGTGCTCAGACTGTGACCATCCTCTGTTGAAAAGGAGGGTAACCAAGAAGTGTTGCACAAGTTGGTGCCACTTCAATGGTCTTCCTCACCAATGACAATGATAAATAGGTGAATACCTGTAGTAAAGATCTATAGTTGTTCTGTTTAGCAGAAATATTAACTCTTGTTACATTTGAAGAATGAATGCAAATTGATTCCATTTTCTGCACTATAGTTTTGCCATTTTAATAGTACACTGTGTCCACTGCCTCAACAGAAGTCAAACCCAGCAAAATTAGTATCACATATTTAGTATAATGTAGTATAATGTTAGACGTAGCCTCTCATACCATTGTATTTTTTTTTCTTGCACATTGTTAGTACCTGCAATGCATTAGCCCTCGGGCATTTGCATGTATTTGTAATAAACTTTTATTAAATCTGTCAATCTGTCAGATAATGCAAAATTGTTAGACTCTAACTTAGAGATGTAAGATTTTAAGATTATTTGGAAGAAAGATGATGAAGTTTAAGTAT